CTTGGCCAGGCTGGGCATAATTGTTAGGCAGAAGTCACGGCAGGCTGAATGGTATCTTGCAACCAGAGAGGCAAGGATTTCTAAACCAGGGAAAGTCAACAGTCATTGGCAGTTGCATTTTAACAAGATGCACATTTCTTAGGGTCCCCCCACCCAGCTGATTCCCCAGATTTCAAATAACCTAAATAATTTATTTTAAAGATTTATAGGCGTCTTAAACAACTCTGGACTGCCACAAATTGCTGCATTCTGGACCCGTTGTAACTTCTGAGTGGTCTGCAAGGGCAGCTCTGTGAAAAGCTCCTCGCAGTCAACCAAGCGGGACAAGGCTTAAGGCCGTCGCTCTAGTGTTGACCACTCTGTCCATACCTTTGGCATCCTCTGGCCATTTTCTTTGAACGACCGTTTCAGGCACAGGCATCTTTGGGGCAGGGCCAGGTTAAACAAGCGACGGTGTTTTTCTTTTTCATAGGTTGCCAAGCTTTACCTTTTAAATTAAGTAAACTTCCTTGGAGAGGGGAAGCATTTGGGTACAGAATGTCCACGGAGAAGTATTCAAAGTGTCTATCCATCTTGTGAAGTCCTTGTGTTAATAGAGTAGCTCCTTTGGTTTGAAGTCGGAATGTGTTTTCTAGCAACGAGGCGAGAGAAAAGGGGTTGTTACTGTTTTCTCCAGACACTTCTACGTGATCTCTCTTTGCCCCTCAATTGCTGGGCACTAACCCAAGCTCCCGGCTGCCCTGCATGCCAGCGGCTTAGTTTTGCTAAAACCACTGCACTTCATTCTCTCTTGGGGAGATTCCTCAAAACGTAGGAGGTGGATCTGAGAGGGAAAGGAAGGTTAACTTGGCACAATGTCTTCATTGTTCAGTTAACTTTTTTTAATTACCCTTCCTTTGTTGACCCCTGAATGGCGGTGCACAACAGATGTGACTTGGGCCTTCCCCTCCCCGGCAAGTAGGCAGGGAATGTGGAGATGGCCTTGAAGGACAGAAGAAAAATCTGCTGTCAAGGCAACAGTCAAGTAAACATGTCTTGAGCCCGGCCAAAAGTGTGATTTATGAAAACAGAGTCAGACAGCCCCTCCCGCCAATTCACATTTTTAATCTTAATAAGGAAAAGGAAGCACATCTTTAAAAATTGGTGTCAGCTATCTATGGCCAGTGAATTCCTGCAGTCATTAAGTTGGTTGCAAGGTCGTTACATGAACCTGGCTTCCCTATTGACTTTGCTTGTCAGAAGGTCACAAAAGGGGATCACGTGACCCTCTCCGGGACACCACAACCGTCATAAATATGAGTCAGTTGCCAAGCATCTGAATTTTGATCATGTGTCCATGGAGATGCCGTAACGGTCGTAAGTGTGAAAAGCGGTCATAAGTCACTTTTGTCAGGGCCATTATAACTGATTGGTCACTCAATGAACTGTTGCAAGTCAAGGTCTAACTGTAGAGGGTTCTAGACCTAGAACTGGTCTACTAACAGAAGCTTGCAAGTCTGAATGTGCCTCCCTCTTTCACCTTCGTGTGAATTGTGTGTCATTGAGCATCCTGATGTCATTGAGCAATTAATGCTCCATGGGTTTCTTAAACATTTTAGCAGCCAGCTTCTAGAGCTTGAGGTCCTCTGGATGAATTGAAGTGACAGCATCCATCATCCTGAGCCGAAGTCGCTAGCTGGGAATCCTAGGAGTTGTGAAAGGAGTTGTGAAAGGGCCTGATAGTTTGTAGAAGGCTCGGAGAGGACCTTCAACCATGGATTCTGATTCAGCCGAGAAGCCGCCTCTCAGTCAAAAGCTGCCCAGTTCTTGCTTTGCTTTAAATGGGTGTGATTCCTAGAAGAATTCCACCTCATTCCAACTCATATGACAGCCTGTTGTGGCTTGTTTGCCGAGCTGCGCCCACTTGCTTCCCAACTCTCCACCCCTCTCCTCATGTACTGGATGGAAAGAAGTAGCGCCAGAACCTTCAAGGTGATGAATCGTGCGTTAGTGTCCCTCTCCCACAAGAGAGCATCCATCAGATGGTTGACTGTGCCCGAGTATCTCTCCAAACCAGGCCTAAACCTAGATCGAAAAGCGCCAGGATAACCTTATGTCCTCAAGAATGTTTGCCGGCTGCATAGACTCGCCTCCTCTCCCCCACCCACCATCCCAAAATGGAGTGTTTAGGATCAGGCAGTAATTGGCACGGTCCTCTGGATCTGCTGAGGAGTTCTTCAAAAGGTTATTATCTTCTTTAAGGTTGGTGATATTACTCCCATCAGCCCACCGAGATGGATTCATGCCTCCATGTCTAGGGAGATTCTCACTCATCCAGGTCATGGATGTCCAAAAGGTGCTTTTTCAAGAGGCAACTGGACTTTCTGTTTTTTCTTTGAAGACGTTTCGCTTCTCATCCAAGAAGCTTCTTCAGCTCTGACTGGATGGTGGAGAATGGAAGGATTTATACTCCTTGCAGACAGAAGAACAAACACATCAGGACTAGCTTCAGAATTCCACCTACATTTAAAAGACACAGGCCACTCTTTTCAAGTCAACAAAGTCCACATTTTGGACAGAGAGGACTGCTGGTTTGAAAGAGGGGTCGAAGAGGCCATCTGTGTCAAAATTCTCTTAACGGGAGGGATACGACATCATCTACCTCCTGTCTACAACACAGTCCTTTCAACAGTTCCAAGAAGGCTCCACACCCATTTGCACCACTCAGGTAACCCAGAGGACAGAGATGAACCTCCAAGTGGCCTCAGTGACTCTCTAAAGGAATGTAAATGACCCGCTGTCTGCAAGGAGTATAATCCTTCCATTCCCCACCATCCTGTCAGAACTGAAGAAGCTTCTTCAGTTCTGACTGGATGAGAAGTGAAATGTCTTCAAAGAAATAATGATGTCCAGTTGCCTCTTGGAAAAAAGCACCTTTGGGACATTCATGCCTCTGAGGACTCATCCAGTCCCCATCCTCAGGTTGCTGCAATGAGCCAAGGTGAGGAAAAGGCTGAAGAGTGTAGGATAGGCCAGACAATTACAAGCATTTGGTCCAAATCGAGGTACACCAGATGGGCTGCTTCCTCTGCCCAGATCAGCCATTTTGTCTTCAAAGGTTCTCACCGTCTTATCACATCAGGTCTGTGGGAAGGTCAGCATAACTGGTAGCTGTGGGGAACAGATAATAATGGCTCTTCGACCAGTTGGAATCTGTTGTGGTGGCGGACCCCTTGAGAAGGCATTGGAGATCTCAAGCTGTCTTTGCGGGCATCGGTATCTGCACTGATAGGCATCTTGACTGGCACCATCCCTGAACTTTCCTGCTGCAGTCCAGCTGTCTTTTGGCTTCTCACTGTCCTGAGCTCCCTGGAGGATCTGGGAGAAACTAGGGCTCCAGAGCATGGACTGGGACCCTCGGGGTAGTCATGTCCGTGTTCTGCTCTGCTTGTCCAACGATGTAAACATCTCGGCCTTCTGGGAATTGCTCCAGAGGAAGGGTCTGCAACCTTAAACACTTAAAGAGCCATTTGGACCCGTTTCCCACAGAAAAGAGAACACCGGGAGCCACAAAACCTGGGTGGGTGTGGCCATCTCGACGTCACTCACTTCCACCAGTCACATGACTCCCTCTCTGTATCTCTCTATGTCTCTCTATCTCTCTGTCTCTGCCCCAGCTGCTTCTCTGTCACCTGCTGTCGCCCTTACCTTTTCAGGGTAGGCGAGGAGTGACTGGGAGGGGGAGAAATAGTAGTGGGTGCAGGTGGGATTCCCTTCCAGCCACAGTCGTCACACCTGGGAGTTCTGCACATCAGGATGGTGCTATTATTCATGTCTGGGGAGAGAGATTGGTCCTCAGGACAGTTCAGCCAGGCTTTCTGAAGCCCTGTGCTTGGGGAGGAGAATTACCGAGAAACAACGGCTGTTTCTGCCCTCCAAAGTTGTGTAAGTCGTGTTGAGAGAAGAACCTGAATTCATGGTTGTATGAGGGAAAAATCCAGCTGTTCCAAAGGTTAGGGTTTTTTTAACAAGAAAAGAAACAGTCCTTTCTCTCCTGGACACGGCTGAAATTTCAGCCAGTCATTGTGCTGGCTTTTCCAGGAAAGTGGCGGAGGGGGGTGGTGCCATTTAATGAAGGAAAGACCTTGTTAGTTCTCCTGAAACTTCGTCTTCAGCGGGAAGGCGTTAAATGTGAAATAGAGGATGGCTGGCATAATGGTTATTGGAGTCTTGATGCCCAGGCTCTCCGTCAACAAACGAGGTTGCAGAAGCCAGCAGCAGCTTCCCCCACCCACCCCATCCCCAAAGGGCAGTTGCCGTTTCCTTTGTCTTTGATGACATCACGGCTTCCCCACCCAATTTTTTTTTTTTTGTCCAACTCCAATCTGTGGCCATTCTCCCCCCCCCTCTGGATTATGGGTTTGGATGTGGGTGGGTGACGGGGAGGGGAGGCGTCAGGAAACAGGAGCTGTTTCCAGCGTGTTTGCAGGGCTCAGGAGAAGCCCTGGTGATGGCAACCCTGCTGCGTGCCAGGAGCATATTTGGGTGTGGGCCAGGCAGTCTGGAGGCTCCTTGCAGATGCATTGGCCCTGGGTTTGGGGGGGGGGGTGATTGTCCATCGGGTCAGCCGGCAGAGGCATTTTCCATCAGTGACACAGAGGATGGAGGGAGGAGGAGGGGACCATGAACCAGCTGGGGAAACGCGAGCCAATGTGTGCCAGGATGAGATAAATATGGAACAAGGTCCTCTATTGGGTGTCTGCCCAGACATTGGGTTGCAAGGAGAACTGCAATTGGCTGCTTCCTCCTTACCATGTGCAGCTTCTGGTAGGAAATGCCCTTCTCTCTCTCTCCCCCTCCCTATTTCTCCTCTTTTTTTGCAATTAAAAAAAGAAAAAGACTGGTAATCAGACAGTGGCCGTATTTGAGATGGAGCGGTTTGTCCAGGGGCTTCTCTGGGTAGGATCTGGGCACATGAGGCTCCCTCCTGGCTGAGCTGCTGTTTCTTCTCCTCCCCACAGGTCGCTGAAAAGTGCCTTCCTTGAAACTGGCATCGCTACAGCTGCTTCGACCCCCGACTTGGGCTTTCCCTCACCTGCACTCCGAAGGGGATCGAGAGCGCCCACGACTCACAGCCGCCTTCGAGCCCTTCTGCCCGCCCCCTTCTTTGGAAAGAAGCCCCCCTCTATTGCTGCTCGGTGCGTGTGGGACATCTCGGCCAGCCGTTGAACCGCCATCACTTGTCTTTTCCCTCACCTTTTCCCATTCGGTTCGCTCGGTCATCTTTGTGCCCCCTTTTTCTTCCCAACTATGTAACAAACTCGATCCTGTACAAAAAAGAAACGAAGAAGAAAGACAAAAACACAAGAGGAAGGAAATAGAGAGAGGGAAAAAAAGAGAAACTTTTCTTCCACCAGTGGTATTAACACTTGCAGCTTTTGCAAATGTTTCAGGCACAGGATGAAAGGATAGAAACTTGCTAAAGGTTTCTTTTCTGCCAAGCAACAAAAACCATTCCCTCAGCCTGTACCCTTGCAGCTGCGTTTTCTTGGACTGATCTGGTTTTGTGGGAGGATAGTGGAAACCCATAACTTGAGAGCACAGAAACCTGTGAGGACGCAGTAACAGAGGAAAGCGAGTTGTTTTGAAATAATTTTGGCAGTGGCACAAAACATTACATATATATATATACATAAATATATATATATACATATACATATATACATATATATAAAAACATATATAAATATATAACATTTCTATTTTAACTTTGACAATTGCACTTTTAGGAGCTGGCCTCTAATTTGATTTTTTTAGTTAATTCTGATGAGATTTCTATTTTATGATTGGCTAAAAGTTTAACCTTTTCTTTTCGACAAGCATAATTTGAGTTCGATGAAACCTAAGTGCTGACGAATAGAAATTTTACCAAAGCAACAAAGTTATTTCTTCACATTTTTAACTTGAATTTCCTTTTGATAAAGAAATCCCCCCGACACACACATACACACACACACACACACACACAGACATTTTCCCTTTCTTCAAAAGAAATCATTAGTATTCACCCGAAGAACGTCGTGTTCCCCTTTTCCTCTCCTTTTTACCCCCTTTTGGGGGCAGTTTTTTAAATATGGCGCTGAACGTTTCCTTGGTCCGTGACACAAAATGGCTGACGCTGGAAGTCTGTCGGGAGTTCCAGCGAGGAACCTGCTCTCGTTCTGACACAGAGTGCAAGTTTGCCCACCCTTCCCGGAGCTGCCACGTGGAAAACGGACGCGTTATCGCCTGCTTTGATTCCCTGAAGGTAAGGATGGGCTAATGCAACTGTTTTGCTGAGGTGCTCTGGAAACCAGAAAGTTGTTTATTTTTTATTTTTTTAAAATATACCTTTCCTGGTGGCTCATTCAGTTCTTTCCCCAACTTTGGGAGCTCAGAGGTGAACAATGCAGGTTGTGTATCTGTGCAAATCAGTTTTTGATTCTCCACAAGGACAAGGAAGGAGCAAAGGGCTTGGATGGCAGCCAATGCAAATATGAAGGTCCGTAACGAATCAGTTTGGTCTGGTGGTTAAGCACCAGGCTAGAAAGCAGGAGACGGTGAGTTCTAGCCCCATCTTAGCCATGACAGCCATGTGGGTGGCTTTGGGCCAATCACCGGGAGACTGGGAGTTCTAGGCAGGAAAGCTGCCTGGGTGACTGGTCCAGTCAGCAGGAGATGGTGGTGAGTTCTACTCCTGCCTTAGGCATGAAAGGTTGCTCGGGTGACTTTGGGCCAGTCCCTCCCTCTCAGCCCAACCCACCTCACAGGGTTGTTGTGGAGAAAATAGGAGGAAGGTGTCTTGGCTATGTTCGCCGCCTTGTGTTATTTGTAAAAATAATAAAAAGGCAGGATACAAATAAACGGAAGTTTTTGCATGGACTCTCACAATAAGGGCCATAAACTGCAGGGCCAAGCATCTAGTGCAGGCTGTCACAGGCATGAAAACAGCAAATGGTGTTCTAGCAAAAGGGGTCCTCCTGAATGCCCTTGATTTATCCAGCCGACTTTTGACGGTGGCTTTTAGGAAAAAAAAAAGTACATCTACTTTCAAAATGCAGCCCTGGACGCCCCTTTATTTTAGCAGCAGACTGCTATCCACCGATCCTGGTGAGAAGGGAAGTAAAATGTCCGGCCCAAAAAGATTGAAGCAAGCCCACAATTCCATCTGGAACGGAAGGAAACAGGCTGGAAGTTCGTTCCTCTTCAGCCAAATAACAACCACAATACAGGGCCCCCCATCCCCAGAAGGGGGGCTGCAGGGACCTTGCAACATCGGCCATAGCCTTGCTTTGCAGAAAGGAAAGCTAGAGTAGAATATTCACCGAGGAGGAGGAATTTTCATCCCAGCTATTTTTTTTTAATTTTTTTTTTTGAGTGACGGTTGCCTTTGCCACCGGCCTACACGTTCTATCACCTTGTTACTCTGTACAGCCAATTTTAGCTGGAAACTCAGCAGCTTCTCTTCATACTTCATCCCAATCCTTCTCTTAAAAAAATCTCTGGCAACCGCAGGAAGAAAAAAATGGAGCTTTAAGTTGATAAGCCCAGAAATGACTTTCTAGGCTGACTTCACTGAACACGGCCTTCGTGTATTTCTCGCCCTCTTGATCCAAGAATGCAAAGGAGGTGGGGGAATCATGATGTTGATCTATGTGAAATGGCTTCTGAACATAGGTAGTCCTCTTTTAGCGACTGCTTCACTTAGCAATCATTCACAGCGGTGATGAAAAGAAAAGAAATAACTTTATATCACCTCTCCTTGGATTTACAACCTTCGGCTGGCCTGTAAAGCAGAGATCTTCAAACCTGGCAGCTTTGTGGACTTCAACTCCCAGAATTCTCCATCCAGCATAGCTGACTGGAGAATTCTGGGAGTTGAAGTCCACAAGTCTTAAAGCTGTCAAGTTTGAAGACCTCTGCTGTAAAGCTAAGGAGAATCGGAGTCCGATTGTAAGACGAGTTGTGGTTTCACAGAGTGACGGCTTCGCATAATTTTTGTTCTCCGTTGTTCCAAGGAGCGTCAGAGGTTTTGTGTCTTACCGCCCAAGAACCTTATCAGGTGTTGAGATGCAGGGGACATGTTGACCTATAGTAGTGTTTCTCAACCTTGGAAGCTTGAAGCTGGCTGGGGATTCTGGGAGTTGAAGTCCATCTATCTTCAAGCTACCAAGGTTGAGAAACACTGACATATAGCTTCACCATGGGCCTTTATGGGAGGGGGGAAAACTCCCCCATAGATATGGGCATTAATTGGAATAAGAAATGTTTCCTCTCTGGGATTAATTCATCTTGTCTCTGTTGTGATGTACTTGGAAAGTGCCATCCTTCGGTTTCTCAAGTGAGCATTTCATAGCCAATTCCCCAATCCTTCAGCAACGTTGGGTCAAATTGCTGCTGCTTAAGGGTTTCCGAATATATATTCAGAAAATATTTTCCCCTGTTTTCTTTTGTTCTGCTCTGTCCTTGAAAGTTCTGAACTTCAGCAACCGCACAAATACCTTGGATTTCAAGAGTAACGTGTTTACATTGCTTTTCTGTGACATTTGTTCAGTAGCTGAATATTTTGCGTGGCAAATCAGTTTGACTCCTGTATTTGGGATGCAGCCAACACAATGACTGAACCAGGGTGTTGCTGTTGTTTTTTTAAAAGACCTGAACATGTTGGGTTTTGGACGTGAAAACAAATTAGCTCAACTCACGAAGCAGAACTGATCCAGTTCACCTCCAAGAAGACAGCAGGGATTTTCCTTTGACTCCTGTTAGATTTGGGGTTGCTTTGCCTGCTGGCTCTTTCACTCGGGGGGGGGGCAGGAGGGAAGAACTGGGTGTATACTTACAACTTGGTGTAGAGCACATCTCTTTCTTCTGTGGATGAGAAAAGGCGTTGCACTTTCTGGCTAATGAGAAAAAGAGAAGACGAATCTGTGTATCAGAGGGAAAAAGTCGTGGCAATTAGGATGTTGTAACCAGCCATCTCTGTACAGATCGTGTTACATCGAGCCCAGCCATGCAATTAAGGTAATTGAACCGACAGTAATCCTTAAAAATGCACAGGAGGAATTGCAGAGAAATGCTGGAGACTTCTGGGGGAGTGAGCTGTGGCCATAATTATAAAAAGAGGGCAGCCCTTCCTGCTGAAAGGTTTCTAAACCATCCAATTCCTGAAATCCATTCTTTCTTTGAAAAGAAAAAAGAAAAAGCCTTGGAGATGCCCTTCTCTAAATTAAGGCTGGCTTATTTCAATTGTTCTCTATTGCTGTTCCATTTTCCCCTCTGCCTCGAGCAAGCATTTGTCCATATTTTTCCTTTCTCCCATCATGCAGGTGGGCTCAAGTCCTGTTTCTGCTAATCCCCTTGGCATTTGGGGAACGAGAGGGTGGCCTGGGATCCAAGATAGATAGGAAGCTGATGCTCAAAACAGCCATGCGGAAAGAATGCCCATGTTCAGAGATGGGATGCCACTAAAATCTCTAAAGAGAGTCTCGTCTCATGCATGACACTTGGTGCTGGCATTAAAGTGCTAGTTTAGATGGACCTTTTTCCTTCTGAGACACGGATTCGTCTTCCCTTTTTCTCATTAGCCAAAAAGTGCAATGCCTTTTCTCATCCATAGAAGGAAGAGATGCTCTACTCCCAAGTTGTAAGCTGCAAGGTTCCTCTGAGGGAACTCGATACAGGAGAGCCATCCACATTAGAAATCTCAGTGTTCAGGCTTGTCCTCATGGTATGGTCGGAAAAAAGTCCCAAGATAGCGTCCGTGAGAATGGAAGCTTGGATCATGCTGTGGAGGCTGCCATCTTGATTTCTTTGAACAGGGCCCGTAGATGCTCCTGACAGTATTTATTCCTATGATCATGGTCTCTTAACTAGGCAGGTATCTCTGCACACTTGAGTTAATCTATTCCAGGAAGGTAGATATAAAGGATCCGATTGCTAAGTGGGTACATTCCAGGGCAACTTCCTGTCCATCTGGTCTCTGAGAGCAGAGCTTTTGTTTTAATATTCCGTGGTGATCGGTTCTTTCCAGTCCTACTTATTTCTCTCTCCTGCAGCTCTTTCTGCTGGAAGGCTGTTAACGGGGACAACCTGGCAAGCGGAAGAGCAGAAAAAACTGCCATGGCTGGCGCTGAGCTTGAAGCCACATAAATATTTCAGGAGCTCTTGATAATTTCACGCAGCATCCTCATGGCTGGCACGTAGGAAGCGAGCGCCCCCTTTTTTTTTTGTCCGATTGGTTCCCGTGTAGCTGCTTGCATGGCGGGAGCCAGCTCGCCCCCGGGCCGTGGGGGAGGGGGGAACGGTGGCATTGGCCCCGGAGTTGTTCTTATTTGACCCAAGTATCTTCAGCAGCCTTAAAAGTTTGGAGAAGTGAGATTGTGGCTCCTTGTGAGTCGCCTCCCTGAGAAAATTAGGATGTCTCTGAGCGGAGGAGGAGATTTTCACAGGTGGAGCCTGCAAGGAGGTGAAGCTCTGTTTCTCAAATTTGAACTTTTTCAAGCATCAGATAACATCCGTCCTCTCCCTCCTTGGGACGTGGGAGACGTTTCTTTCAACCATTTATTAATTGGCTGTGATTATGTATGTATGTATGTATGTATGTATGTATGTATGTGTGTATATATATATATATATTGTGCAAAATGGGGTTTCCCCTCTTCGTATGCTGAAAAGATAATTAAAGCATTTTCTTTTTCTTTTCCTGCATTTTGTGGGGCCAGAGGGAGAAAAGGATCAGAGGAAAGTTGTCTTTGGTTGGCCATCCCAAGGCACTTGGAGCCCTCGCTCACTGGGCTCTGCTAGAAGCAAGGCCGGCTGAGAAACGTCTCAAATGGGAAATATTCCCAAACTGTCCTTAAATGCACCAGTTTCTCACAGGCCCGGAGAAACGCATTTTGAAAAGCTGCTGTGGGGCCACCCGTGGAGAAGGAAGTCTGGTGGTTGATTCCCAACTGTGTGGTTTGTTTGTTTTTTAACTTGAGTTGAGGAAGCTGCAGGCAAAGAGACGGTTCAGCTGTTGTGGGGAGTAAGAGATACAGATCAGGGTCAGGCCTGGTTCTCCTTCAGCGGCTGTTCTCAGCGTCACACCAAAAATGGCAGCCTGCAGGTCACAGCCTGGGTTCCCCAAAGATACTCAGCTAAAGCTCATCAGGTTATGTGGCGGCTTGCTTCAGCACGCGAATCTGACCGTTCTCAACTTCCATCCGACTTTGCCCCGACCTGCTATATTTCTGCTAGTGGGGAGGTTGTCCCCAGGTTACCATTGTG